TGAGTGTTCTTTAATTTCTACCTTTCTAATAACCAACTAGGTGTTGACCCGCGCGGGATGAAATTATTTTGACTTTGATCGAATAATAATTTGGTATATTAATTTGTTTAACTAAAAATAGGTAGTGGATGTGAATCAGTAATAAAAATCATATAGTCACATAATGAGATATTAGTATAGCTGCGAAACGAAGCATTGATTCATAGAAATTTGTTTTCACTGTTTTTCTTATATATCTGTTTGTCTTACAGATACATGATGATACAAAAAAATTAAGAAATCGTCTACTAAAAAAAGTAGTAAATAAATTAAAATAATTAATATGATAATAAAACATAGAGAAACAAAACATGATATAATGAGAAAAAAGTATATTAAAATAAAATAATAAATAGAAAATTAAACATGATATAATAATTGAAATTGTCTTCAAAACTCTTGGTTTGCAATCCTACAGACAAAAAATAACAATTAGTTAGTTTACCAAACAACACACACTCTTTTAATATTTAAACTCATCGAAATGATATACTTTTTCCTCAATGCATGGAGTTCTGGAACATCATCTGGTTCAAAAATGATTTTTGAAAAGCCATCGATGTTTGAGATATTCTTCAATTTTCCTTATCATTATTAAACAAAAAAAAATTATTAGCTATTTTCTAATGTGATATAAAATTAAATAGACTATTTATTTAAAATTATAAATGACAACGTTACTTACCAACTAAGTAGTCATCATCGAGGACACCATTCATAACGTATCGAAAGTTAACAAGATTCAGTCCAGTTATGTTGTTGGGCAACTCCTCACAACTCAGTACACATGTCGTTGGAAGGAAAATACAATCTTGAATGGATGACTGCTGGTTCGAAAAGATCCACAACTTCTGGTCACGGTGAAATTCATGAGAATTTTGGTCTGACCCTCTTGTAGCAGACAATCGAATTGCCCCACCAGTTCTCTTTTCACGGTTCCAGCTATCTTGTCTCCCTAGTAGCAATAATATTAAATTAAATAAGTAAACTTCATACGTCAAAAAGAGAAATAGAATAAAACTCGATCATTTTAAATTTAACTTACTCTAGCATCGAGGAAGACCATTTCGATAGTCTCCCCAGCAGCTGTAGAATACTGTTTCCAAAGGCGGACAATTTTCATTTGCACCTTCCATTGGTTCTTGAAAGGCTTCAACTCAGATATAAGGTTCATGGCGGCCATAGAAGATGTGTACGTTCATTCTTGCTTGTGTGAATATTGAATGGACCTTTAGAATACGAGTTATATATGTTTAAATAGCATTTACATTTGCGATTTGCGCTTGTCTATCAAGGAAATTCCAATTTATGGGTATCTCATTTAATTCAGAATATTATATATAGCTGATTGACATTCAATTGGAAAGAAAACATTAAACCGTTTACCTAATAAAAACATTCCGAGATTTAGTTGCTAAAATTACGTGACTGAAATATATTCATTCAATATTCGATGCAGATTCGGTCATTAATTTTAGTTGACATTAGACGATGTATGAAATATATTCATTCAATATTCGAATACAATAACATCAATGGTTCGTGCATATAAGGGAAACTGAAATACGCATGCAGATTCGGTCATAAAATTTAATTGAAGATTGAAGATAATTGTATTTTGTACTAATACTACAAATGCATATAAAGGAAACTGAAACTCTCTTAATTTTCTGATGAGACACGAAATATAAAATATAAAATTCGATTATAAGATCAAAAACATATTGTCGAAATATAAAATATAAAGTTCGATTTTATAAAATATAAAATATTAAATTTAAAATTTAAATATATGCCCAATAGACAATAAGGAATTATAAAATAAGGTCAATTTTTTTTCTTATTTTTATTTATACTTATGTAACGAAATATATTTTGAATTTGAATAAATCGTAAATAACATGTACCAAAATCATTCTATATGCATGTTTTACATTTAAAATATTTACATGGAGAATGATATACATAAAATATATCGTACATGTAACAAAATCATTATATAAGGAAATTTAATTATATGCCGAGTAGATAAACATGTAGTCCGCCTTCTATATGCATGTCTTTATTGTTATATTATATATGTATATTTAAATCAATGGCATGTTGTGTAATTACTCTAGTTAACTAATGTCTTTTAGCTAAAAGGTGTGAGAAGGCTTGTGGAGTTGCCATGTAGGAAATGGCATGCATGTAATAAACACATGAAGTAAATGTTTATTTGCAAAAGTTCTCCTCAAATAATAAGAAAGGGATATATTGAAATAAGTTTTGAATGCATGCATCAACGTAAAGATTTACCATGATCTGTATATATATTATATAGTTTGTATAAATTAGAAAATCAGAGAGGAGATCTCATGAAAGGTCCCCATTTATCTTTTGGAATAAATCTTACAAGAGCTCTGGAATTTTGTGACAGACCAAATCTTTGCATGAGGCCGGGACACCACAAAGATATACGTATATGTAGTGTGTGACTCTATATGCATGCAGCAGGCATATTTCTGGCCCATGACCATATTAAAGCCTTACAAAATTATGAAGGGGCGCTTGAAAGTCATGTGATTTAACTATTATTATTTTTCAACAACGAAATATATGTAGATGCAACCTCTTAGATATGCGGCAGACCATTTTTATCCACACAAGATTGCATTGTCTTTGAGGGATTAAACAAACTTGTATACGTTTGATTAGTTCGTAACAACTAGATCAGTATTATAGTCTATGAAATTAAAAAGGGAGTTTTGTTTTTGAACTTAACATGTGAGCTTAAGTTACACTGGAACATTGATGGGTATGTATGAAAAATCACGTAGCTCACATGAATAATTTAGGAAATGGGGCCAAGCCATTTAATAATTCTTATTTTCCGTATCTACAGATTCATAATAGTAGATACATTCTAAATTCTCTAATAAACCCAACCCGTACATCTTTCAATTGTGTATGTAATAAATATTTGAACCAATTTTCTTCTTTTTTTCTTTATAGATTATTATTGAAATATTACTATATTAGTATTATCTTACA